TTGGTTCTGGTCTAAACATCTGTCGGGTCTGTGGTTCTGGTCCAAACATCTGTCGGGTCTGTGGTTCTGGTCTGTGAGGACCGTCTCACCAGGGTGAGCAGCATCTCCATCACTTCCTGGTTGATGAGGTTCTTGGAGAAGTCCAGCAGGAGGTCTCCATCATCGGTCTTCAGGGTCGTGCTGCGAACATACAGGAAAAACTTTATTAGTAACAGTTTGAGTGACAACAGAAGAAAAACATGAAAAACACCTGAAACTGATTTAAATCAAGATAAAAACTGGTTTATTAACTTAAACCTTTCCGGAAACCTTGCAGAACCTCTCATGAGCAGAACCTCTCATGAGCAGAACCTCTGGTTTCTGACAGGAGAAACCAGAAACTGGTCCAACCCATGATTCATTCTGGTTCTGGGGAAAAACCCGAACCTCGCTGCGGTTCTTCATCAGTCACGTCCGCATCCGCAACCACGTGTGGCACAGACCGACCCAGCAGAACCAACCTCCAGACAAAATGAAATGTTACCCCACAGATCAGATCCGGACCGGATCGACTCGGACCGAAACGGTTCAGAACAAAGTTCTGTAAGAAAACAAAACTCAGTTTCAGTTTTAGAGTCCTCTGATCCAGATCTGACCTAGAATCAAGTGGGTTCTGAACGGGCCCTGGTCTCAGGTGGGTTCTGAACGGGCCCTGGTCTCAGGTGGGTTCTGATCCGGGGAATCAAACCAGAAGCTAACTTCAGCTCGGTTCGACCCGAACAGGAAACAGGCGGGCGACGTGAAGCTGGGTAATGATCAGGTAAGGGGTTCGGAATCTGGGTCCCAGTCTGAGGTTCTGACTGGATGTTCTTTAGTCCCACATAAGGTTGACTAAAACACCCGAACTTTATTTAAACCCAGAAAATCTCGGCGGAACCAGCAGACGCATCTGTCCGATAATGGACGCTGTGACATTAGCACGCAGGCTAACGTTAGCTTGGTGACAGAACCATCAATGACAGCTGGGCCTTCAGTCCGGTTTAACCGGGTCAGGGTTTAGAGGAGAACGGTTCTGAGCAGACCAGCGAGTCCAGGACGGAACATTGTAGGCGAGCAGCGGAGGAACGGAACCGAACTGGAATGACCTTGTGTCAGACACGGAGGGAGGAAGAGGAGGATCAATAACGGTTCAGGAAACACCGGAACCTGTTAACGGGCCATCACCGGGAAGATCCGAGTCACTGCAGGGAAACAGACCTCCAGAACCCGGGATTTTACTACCAAAATCTCCGGCCGCATCACGCCCACCTCCTCCCCTGATCTCACCTGAACTTCTCGAACCGCTCCGGGTCGCTGTCGAACATCGCCCTCATGCTGAGGCTGCTGCCGTTCGCTCGGTACCACTGGTCCAGCTTCTGGAAGTTCGGGTCTGCGCTCAAAGCCATGATGGTGGCGGTCTGACGGGATGTTAGAGAACCTGAGTTGCTGCTCCTCCGTCTGCTGTCGAGGCGAGACTGACAGCCCGCAGTGCACCTCGGCACGTAGCCGCCGGCGACCAGCTCTGCGCTGCTCCAATCACAGCGCAGGCTTCGCTGCTTAACCCCGCCCACTGAACGCCGAGCTGTACTGTGATTGGCTGTTTTTAAGGTTGGTCCAATCAGAGCTCAATGCGGTGCTATTGAAGAATCCCGTTTTGTTATTGTGCACTCACATGAACCTGATCAGTTTCTGCATGTTTTCATTCAACAATTGAGTAATTATGCTCCAATAAATCAGAAAAAACATCGGATCAACCTAAAACATATTTTACATGAGCATTACCATAGAAATAATCTATTTCTTGTCACTTCAGCTGTTTTTGTAAGTAATCATGTAGTTTGCAGTCACTCATATTGTTTTATAAATTTTCTGAATTGTCTTTAATTTATTTATTTAACCTTTATTTATCCAGGTAAACTGTTTGAGAACCACTTCTCATTTACAAACACTTAAACACACAATTAAAATGATCATTTTCTTACTGGATCCAGATAAAAGCTCAGACTAAGACTTGTGATGAAAATGAAACCAACATAAACAACAAAAATACATTTATTTTTGCAAATTTAGTGTTTTTATTTAATCTTTTTTTATTTTATTTTTTTTACAATGCATCATTTAAAAGCTTGTTTGTTTTTTTCGGTTGTGTGTCCTGATTGGATCGAGGCACCGTCTCTGAACGGTTCTGTCCGGTGCCGTCAGGAGGAGCAGAGAGGAACCTGCACCTCCTCTGGGCCTTCAGGCGGCTCGTCTCCTCGTTCCTGAGCACTAATTTAAAGGTGGCTCTGCAGGTCGGGTCAAAAGAAGCTGGATGTTTAATGTTTGGGTCGAAACAAGGAAGCATCAACAGAACCGGGTCAACATCACAGCTGCAATCATTCACCTGTTATTAACAAACGCTCGGAACCAATCAGCTGTTCGGACGATTAAAAGAACAGAACCGGCCGAGTCTACGAACCACGGTTCTGGATCCAAACAGCAGCTGCCGGGTCGAATCTTAGAATTTAAACTAACTTCTTGGCAGCTTGAGGAACAAACAGAGGCTTATTGCTAACGGATGTTGCTACAGCTCTGTTTTATTGTAATGTTTTAGAACAGTGACATCACTTCCTGTCGGCCGGCGTGCAGCAGGTCAGTCGGTGGCTTCATGAGAAGAACTGTAACAGGATGAAACGTTTTAGGATGCCGGCCGACAGAGGAAAAACTCCCTCAGGTACGGAAGACTCAGAGTGTCGAATTAAACCAAACCAGAAAAATAATCATTTTACCTGTTAAAGGAAAACAAAAAATATTTTTACATATTTAAACTTATATAAATTGACTCATTCACATTTCTCTGATGTTTTTGTGTAAATGTTCCCACTGCAGCAGAGCAGAGCTGTTTTTACTTTATTTATGAACTCCGATAAGGAATAAAACCTGATTTGCTTTAATTGAGACACTTCTGATCCTCCGTACTCATCTGAAGGTGTAAAGAGAAACCGGAGCAAACTGCAGCTCCTTAAAGAAAAGCTCTGAAGGTTCCGGGGATTCGAACCAGCCACCGAGTGAAGACGCCACAGCTGCACCGCTAACGTGGGAGAGTGAGACGTGAAGTGAGAATCACGAGGGGGGAGGGGCAGGTCGATCACATGACAGGACGCCACGGTAGAAAACAGAGGTCAGGAGAGGTGAGGCGGCGTCCACTACAGGACCGACCTGATAAAGCTATGGAGCAGAAACAAAAAGTCCAACAGAACCGTTTCAGGAAGTCAAAGTGGTGCCGTGGCGTCGGCCGCTGACGGAGGTGGAAAGTTAAGCTGCATTCAAAAAGTCTACTCCAGTGCTGGTGACAAATACACAACTAGGAGACAATCTTCATTATTTTAGTCGACAAAATAGAAACCAGAACTATTGGTTCTCCAGTAAGGGATGAAGACGTTCCAGCAGAGTGGAGCCTCTTCGTCCTGCAGAGACTACGCAGCCACTTTGTTGTCCTTCTGCAACACAACAAACAAACAAACAAACAAACATGAGCCTTCAGTTCTGAGTGAAGAAAACTCAGAGATCTAACACAGGTCTGGACTCGGACTGTTCTGGACCTACTCCACGTCTTTGGGTGAAAATAAAATGATGAAACGCTGACATGGAAACCTCACATTAATTAGTTTAAAAAAAGAAAGCCACGGATGATGAAGAAAATATACAAGCCATCATATCGAAAGGAGGATTAAGTCAAATTAGGTCAAAATGACCTAATTACATTTTCAGATTCCTTCTTTAAAAGCTACATTTTGATACCTGGATCATCCTGATATCATAATTAAATCCATATATATGACTTAATTTGTCTTGTTGGTTACAATAATACAAAAATATTTGGTCTGAATCCTAATTTTGTCATTTTATTGAGGAATTTTTGATGTCCTTATAAAGAGAATTATATTTGAATATTAAGATTTACCAGCTAAAAAGAAACAAACTTTACTAACTCACAGGGAAAATCTCAACATTTTAAAGTGTTTTTCCTCAAAATCAGTTTTTTTTGTTGCTACTGTTCAAAAAAGTGCTTCAAAATTTAGTTTTATGATTATATTTCAGACAGTTCATTTAAATGATACATTAATAAGACTTTTATTCATTATATTTTGACAAAATGCAATTTTTATTAACATTTTAGTTAAAACACTATTTGCCTATTTCTCCTTATACCACTTTTGGACTTAATCCTCGTTTCGATGTGACGGCTCACATGTTCAGTTCTGTTTTCTACTGAAGTGGTTAGGAAAAGAAAAAGATCAAAAAAAGCTAAATCTATTGGAGAACTGTATATAAGGGAGTTTTTCAGTGATAGAGCTGTGTATATGTTGTATAATGTAAAGGTTGTTCCACACTTCATCTGTTGTATTAAAGTCTGGGGAAAGCTTGTAAAACAATTATAAACCCTATTTTTGTTTTACAGAAAAGAGCTGGAAGAATTATCACCAGAAAACATTATTTTATCAGTTGAAATGATTGTAGTTCTATAAGTTGGTTGATTATAATATTTTACAGGTTATGTTTAAGGCTCATAAATGTATATTACCTTTAAATAACCAATTACATTTTGTTAGATTAGATAAACCTTTGTCATTGTACAGAGCACAATGAAGTTACAGTTAAGACAGTTGTTCTGATCTGAAGGGGTGGAGATGTTTGTGAAACCTGGATTAGGAGCAGTTTGAGGGAGTGATGTACCTCCATACAAGGATTAAGATTATGGGACAATCTGGAGCGTGAGGTCAAAAATACCAGATCAATGTTTATGTTTAGGAGAAAGACAAAAGTCACTTTGTTAAAGAAATATAAAACAATATAATATGTATTCATACGAATTGTTGTTCAACAAGGATTTGAGGTTGTTTTTGTTTAGTTTTTCTGGTTTTTAGATTATTATAGTTTAAAAATATTAATTTGGGGCGGAAA